GACTTGCTCTGCCTGGTGGCCCACCACCTCCAGACAGGCAGACTAAGGAGTGCCGCCGAGCTCTTACAACTACCTCCACACCGGTTAGAAAGAGATGCATTTTGGGGGCAGGTTCCTAATGCTGCACCCGGGAAGCAGGCAGGATCTTGCCGGACAGGATCACTCTCCATTGGGCAAGGCAGCGTTTCCCGTGACAGCTGTGAAGGGCACGGAGTTGAACTGTGTGCCACTTAGCACGGCGACAGCAGGGATCCCGTTATTTGCTGGGGGGGCATGTCCTCTCCTCTGCGTACAGAGGATCCTCTCACCCGAATTAGCAGGGAAAAGCTTTGCGCAGCAGTAGGAAACTAAACCCTGCACACGGTCGTCTCCTCTGCACTGACCAGGCCACCAGCCGATCAGCCATTAGTTGAGGCAGACACGGTTTGGTTGACCTTGGGGCTGACAGTGAAATGTTCTTTCAGTGCAGCGTCAACTGCAGGACTGGGGACGCTGCTGGGAGAGGAGAGGGAGACAAAGACGAGGGGGAAGTAAAAAAAAGCAGGGACAAGAGGGAAATTAGGGAATAGAAATAAAAACTGCGAAGCATCTTATTACATCTAAATAGCGTATGTCTTAAAGCTAAAGTTATAAATCATGCTAACAATGGTTACTAAAATAAAAGTGGATGTAGCCAGAGGCTACCACTGAAAAAGTCAGTCTAGACCTGCCTCGCTGCCTTTGGTCTTTAAGGATTTGATTAGTTTTTCCGCTTTCTAGTTCAGAGTCTTGCATTCAGCCCATGCTCCAGAGCCAGCTAGGGCTCAGGATACAGAATGAATGATAAATTCATTTACTGAATAAAGCAACACTGTTTTCACAGCACAAGACTTAAAACACTTCCGAAGCTGTAATATTTCATTAAGCTTGGCGATTCTGGTTAAAATTTATTAGTCAAAACAGAAAACTCTCATCAGACCCCATATATTCCATTAGGAGTGATATATGGTGTCTCCCAATGTCTAATTATTAACTAGGAAGTGTAAGTAAATCACTATCAGCATTAAGCCCTGATGTGTGAAGACAGAGTTTGAGTCAGGCAACTTCAGCATCAAAAGGCTTTGATTTGAAACATATCCTTTTTTGCTTTCCCTCCTTCACCTCTTCACATCTTCCCTGAACTTCAAAAACCTAAGCTCAGTCTCCCACGTAAATGAACACAACTGCCTACCTGCAACGAAGTGCAACCATGTCCAGCAGCCTGCAACTCAACCACCAACTCCGAGCTGCTCCTACCAAAAGCTGGAACCAGGGGGACAAACTACGTGCAAAGCGGACAATGGGCAAGAGCAAGCAGAAGAAAGTTGCTAACATCAGTTTTATTTGTCTTTGGAACAAAGCGGCGATGCTTGCCGCGAGTGCTCCTGCGCACGTGTGTTTCTGAATTCAGCAAAGCTCTGCTATTAAAACCAACGCCGTCAGGCTCCCTGGTCAGAACCAGGGGCTACCAACCACAAGAAAAGCATGCAGAGGTCTCGTGGTTTGCCAGGGCCCACAAGCCGTGTTCACGGAGGGCTGGGAGCAGATGGGAACTGACTCTCCCTCCTGTGTCCTGGGCACGCAAGAGAGCTTAAAATCTGCAACCGCTAACAAAGAGCAAGGCAGAACATGTCCAAAGGCAAGAGCTTCAAAAGCCGTTAGTATTCACCTACCTTTGCTGACACCAAAGCCATTGTTAAAATTTACACTGGAGTCAATGATGTGTGCTTTCTAAAGAATTCACCTTAAAAGGACTCCCTCTCTACACTAGTTAGAGAGATGCACACAAAGTACATTGTACAAAATTAGAGGGATTTAGAAATGCCATCAGGGTGTTGTTCAAGGGTAATAGAGATTCATTTCTCATTTTAGAGGTCAATTTTCATTTTAGAGGTTAGGTCTCATTTTCATGCACTATCTATCAGTGTTTCTAATACTACAGTTGCTGACCTTTCTGATTTGCAGACCCCTAAGAATTTCCAGTTGAGACAAAGAGCTAAGTACAGCTGAAATAAGCTTCGTGACAAAAGGCTCGCTGTTCTTAGCCCTCACAGACCAATGCAAATTAATACCTCGCAAAAGTTCATCTATAGTATATCACAGGAAAACAGTTTAGTTACAAAGCTTAGAAATATAATCGGAACAAAAGAAACACTTTTTCTTTAATGTTATTAAAATCTTCAGAAAAGCCCGTAAAGGCACGGGTCATTTCTGCTACAGTGCATCAAAGCCACCTATTCTGTCTTG